ATAAAGATTAACACATAAAGATTAAAACACAAATGAAAGAGCTAAGTGTTTAAAAAGGGTAAATAAGATGTAAAACATAAAGAAAAAAGATTTTACCTTGATTTAAGTGCACTCTTAATTTTCAGTCCCACCAAAGTTCATGAGATTTAAGTAAAGGTTGTGGTTTAAATATTGTCCTTACTTGTATCCACTGTTTGGAATCTGTCCCCTCTGCTTTAACAATCTAAACAGACTTCAGACAGAAAGCTAGTCAGGACAGATCTGTTTTGCTATATTCAGAGAGTGCCAAATATGTTTGTGGACATTATAAAAATAACTAAGAAGCCTGGTTTAAAATGATAAATTCTCTGAAGCATGCCCTTGACATAACCAGCTAAGGAAATACAGCTAAGAACTGGTAATGGTGCTGCAACAAGTTTGTAGGAAATTGTTTTCAAGTAATTCTTCATGCAGTGAATCAACAGGCCAGGACAGGGAGGGAGGTTTTTTTGAAGTTTTTATTCATTATTGAATGGTCGCAAAACTGAGAGATAAAAATAATAGAAGAATCTTGTTTCCTTCACTTGAGAGAACTTAGACATAGATGGCAAATAGAAAAGAAAAAACAAAATAAATGGAGCACAGATGAATTTTATCGCCATCTTCTTCCACTGTGAAATATGAAGAAAAAAGTGATTGCAATCACAAGGTACTAATAGGCATCTGTATTGTTCTTTGTATGCTGTTGCAGAAGCATATGCATTAGTAAATTAACTTATAAATTAGTAATTGTCTGTATTGTAATTTGAACAATATTCTATAAAAAAAATACTAAATGAATGTATTATTATTCTATAGTGACTCAACGGAGAATTGAATTAAAAAGGATCAAAGGTCTGACCCTTATGATTATAGATTCAGTGGACTTTAGTTACACTAGCTAGGATAAAAACATAAAGGTTTTCAATTTGTATGCTTTTAAGAATAAAAAATAAGTTCCCCAGCCTTCCCCCTGGCCCCATAAAAGTTTGGCCACCTCTAGAAATAGAAGTTGCACCATTTAACTTTTAAATCAGTTTTCTCTATTTTAATTAAGTTGATATAAAACTCTGTCTGGACACTGTCAGTTTGGTCTTAGGGTTCCTTATTTCAGTTTAATTTACACATTTCCCTGAATTTTTTTTGAGCTAAATTAATCCCACCCTTGTTGACTTCAATTTAAGAGTACAGAAAGCTGAACTAAAATAGATTCTAAATCACACTTTCAGTTAAAATGTTCACACTCATGTGTTGACTGGGCTTAATGTTCCACAACTGACCTGATTCATTATGGGGTTCCATGCCTTTCTTTGTGTCATCTACCTTGACTTGGTCACTTTAGGGCTAGCAACTTGATGACCAGGAGAGAGTCCTAGTTGGTGTAAATTTCCATAGTTCAGTGGTGCTCAAGCTTTTGGCCCCACAGGCCAGATGAATGGTGTGGGTTCGGTTCACAGGCCAGATCAAGTCCTGTGTGAGGAACAGGCTCCACATGCCGGTATTGGGCCCTGAGGCCCAGCATTGCCCCCTCTCTTCCTTATGTGTGAGGATTGGGTCCTGGGGCCCAGTGCCACCACCTCTTGGTCCTTCATGCTGGGAAAGGGCCCTGGGGCGCAATGCTTCCACCACACAGCCCTACATGCTGAAATTGGGTGCCTGACCCAGTGTGCAGGGCCCAAAGCTCCCCCTGGGTCCAGAAAGTTGGCAGTAGGAAAGCAGTGCCACCACCCCTCTGCTACCAAATTTCTGGGCCTGTGGGGAACCCCAGGGGCTGGTTCATGAGCTGGGGGTTGAGTACTCCTACTATATATTGGCTTCAATATAGCTACATCGGTTTACATCAAGTATTAGGATCTGGGTTTTCCACTATGGCAATTCTTAAGCTTTTATTTACACCTTCTGTATATTCAGACTAGATAGTCTTACTGCTAAAGTGATGTTACTGCTTTATGCAATTCAGGATATACGTTCCAATGAGATTACCTGAGTAGTTTTATTCTCCCAAAATAGCCTTGCCCTGGGTTATCAGATTTGGGCCCTGGCAAAAAAGACACAAAGCATTCATTAGTAATAAAATTCAGGAAGTTATGTATATTTGGATAAACAATATTATCCTTGTCACTTCAGCAGCATTTTTTTCTCATTTTAAAAGCACACAGGAGTACATAAACATATAGTTGCAAGTCGCCCTCCATGCCCCGTCTCCTCCCCCCCCCAAGTTACACAGTTTCAAATTTTATGTGAATCAAAATAGAATATTGTAGTAGAATCCTAAAGGGAAAGGAAATGTTACTGTACTCTAATGTGGCCATTAAGTAAAGCTGAGGATCTCTTATAGACATTACAGTTGTTAGAGAGATATTTAATATGCAATTCAGCTCTGACAGTGACCATAAAAGAGCTCTTGGCTCTACTTGTATGTTACTTTTACAGATTTGGAATGAAAAATACCTTTGCTTATTTAAATGAAAAACATAAATAAGTGTTTGGATTTTACCCCTGAGAAGACTGCAGAGCAAGTAAAACTTTGGGGAAAGAGAAGGATTCCATTCTGGCTTAGGCATTGTAAATGTGACCATCTACTAAATTTCAGGTGAGAAATATACAAATAAAGGGAAACAACCAAGAAATAGAGAGTAAAAGGGGCATAATGTAAGGGAGAAAAATGAACAGTTGTAAGCTACAAAGGGAAATGAATGTGAACTATTATGGAAAAGAATGGGAGACATGGAGGAAAATTAGGACTGGTGTAAAAAAATAAATTCAATCACTGATAATTTTATAAATAGCTGCCTTCATCTAAATGTTACAAAACTACTTCTATACTCTATCAAGGGTTTTAGGAGAGAGCGCTTAAATTAAACCCTTCAGAAGGAACTGTTATAGAGCTAAAAGCCCAAAACCTGTCCTCTTCCCTACGTAAGGGTCCTATGATCCTTCAGAACCCAGAATTGTGGGATGAGCTCTGCAGATGTAGACTCCAGAATGTGAGCAAAAAGGGTTCATGTGACATGTCACCGCATGTGTAGATGAAACGAGGGGCACGTGTGCATGACTTTTTAAAGTGGGCTAAATGCTTTTGTACCGCTTTAATAGTATTGGTGTTTGCATGCATTAGTGGTGTATTGCGTATTCATTCCAGCACTGTAGCAATGTAGCACTGCACATTTGGCAGTGTAATGTGCCTTAAATGACTTTGGGGTACCGCAAAGTAAAACACCTCCACGGAGTTTTAGTTTGCTGCCTTACAGCCATGGAGAGAAGCACCGGGCTCTGTGAGGCTCAGCCTTCCTGCAGCCCGGGAAGGTAGGCTCCACCAAAGAAAAAAAAAAAGTGGCAAGCCTGATCTGTTCCCCTCCCCACCCCGGAGCCTGCCTGCCTGCATGAGCTGTGCAGGGACCCGATCTTTCCCTCCATGGCTGCAGTGCCCCCACAACTGCCCAAGCCAGGTGCCTGTGGGCAGGTGCCACCTGGGGGTGGGGACGGCTGCTTCGGTGGAGGGACATACCAGCCCTCCTCTCCCCCCACAGCCCAGGGACCACTCTGCCCGCCGGCAGCTCACCCTCCCATAGAGGCAGGTAAGACACCGATGTACACGACATGGGGGTTTACTTTGCCCTAAAATGAAGCGGTGTTTTTAAAAACCCACCACTTCAATTTAGGGCCTCTGTTTGATCTACACATGCCCCTAGGCAACATACATTCGTTTGGCACATTTGCACATACACATGCAGATACAGGCAATATGGTTTCTCCTCTAGAAATCAAACTGAAGCAATTATAGCAAGCTGCAAAACTTTTTAAAATGTAGATGTCTACACATCCCCTTTGTAAATTCTGTGCTTCCCTCTTGATTAAAATGAATGAGAAAAATGGTAAGATACCTCTTCCGCAAAGCATGCATTATGGTTGTCCACCTTGCAGCACTTCTCTCTAAAGGTGGTAAAAGCTGTAGTGATGGAGTCCAGCTGTTCTTTTGTAATGTGAGGCTTATACTTGATGAGGTTGATAAGCAGACTGAAACACAAACAAACCTCAGCAATACACAGCTAAAAGTAAACACACGATTTACTGAAGCATTGCTATTCCTCCGATTCTGCAAATCCTTATTTTAAAGTTTTGTTATCTCCCTTTTCATAGTTTCATTATGCCTGGTCAACTCCCCATGGAGAACTCTACAGCTGGAAGGAAATCTCTAGCATTCCCTAGTAGAGTAGAAGTAGTAACCTTTGGGTTTGAGTTTGATTGGCCCTGAACATGTATGCAATTCAGCAGTAATTTTTGTCATGGTGTGTTTTACTTTGGAGGCTCTGGGGAGGCAGGGGTAAGAAGGGAGGAAGGGGAATGGAAGGACCCCAAGTACCTCAAAAGGCTGCCAGTTTGTACATATGATATATGCAGTTCAAGTATCCAAATGGAGAGTGGCTGAACCAGGCCTGCATGATGCATCAGGTCACCTAACCAAAAGCATTAGAGAGTCTCTATGTGACATGGATAGCTTGTGTAGTAAGCAGAGACAGGCACTGTGCTCCCCTGGGAGGAAAGTTATTTGCAGAAGAGTCTGCTTTTTGTAACAGCAGGAGCAGCCAGCTTCTTAGCTGCTCTCTGAGGAAAGAAGATACGGCACACTAAGAACCAAGGGTGCCTATACACGAGCAGGGAGGCTGCTCTGACGCACTGTAATTCCAGTATGTCAAAGCAACTACCATGCTCCAGCAGCCTCCTACGTCTTGTGTATCAGTGTCCTTGCACTTCAAAATGGCAGCAGGGGTGCTTTATCTAAAGCTTGTTCAACAAGCACAGGGATGCTGATATGTGAGATGCTCTGGGTGCTTTAATTAGAGTTGCTCCCAGAGCTACTATAAATAAAGTGCCCTCCCCTGCCCACCTTCTGACCCTACCAAAGCACATGTATAACTGCCCCCAGGGCCCATTAGCTCTAAGGTAAATCATAGAGCTACTGAGGAGGAAAGAGCTACATGAGCTTTACCACAGAGGGAGGCAAGGGGCCCTTTTTACCATGGGGTGGAAGGAATGCTACATGGTTTTTAGTCTTAGGAGGACTAGGTTAAATTCCCTGATCTACTGCTTTTCTCTGGTGTCATTGTAATAATTTTCAAGTCATGTAAACATTTTGTGCCTCATTTCTCCATTTACAAAATGGGGATAGTAATGTTGTCCCACCCACACCTATATGTGTTGTGATAAAGGCCTCAAAGATTGACAGATACTGGGTGTATCTACATGTGTGCTTTACTGCGGAGCTGACCAGTTAGCTCTACAGTAAAGCATCACTGTCTACATGTGCACCCATATTGGGGTGCATTAAATTAATGAGCTCCTTTGTAGCTATCCAGGACAAGTACTATCCTACAGTGGAGTAGTTACATGTACTGAAACGCACATGTAAACGGTGACTGGGGCTGACTAGGATACAAGGGTGCTACAGTACAGGGGACTGCCTGCTGGCTAGCCCCATACTGTAGCACCCTCGTGTCCCAGCCAACTCTTCCACAACACATTGAGCTGGGGTGGAAGAGCCCCAGGCTGGCAGGCTGACCCATGAGGCTCCCTGCCAGCTGGGGCCGCTCTACACCAGCTCAACATGATGTGATCCCAGGCACACATATGAACACTGCACCCAGAAGCAATAAACTCTGGAGTGAACTGCACCGGAGTTTATTGCTACATGTTAAATGTACGTGTAGATGCACCCACTAAGATGCTACAGTTATGAGGATTATACAAGTACCACAAATAGACAGCCTAACTTTTAAAGTTTGATGTCCTAATGTAAATACCTGAATCTATATCTGGATTAATACATACACATTTTTAGGAATTTTTCTGCTAATTCATGCTATTAAGATTTCAAAATGGAGTCAGAAAGCATTAGAGTGATATAGTAATGATGGTCTAAGAATTATGTAAGAGCCAAGGATTTTTGGGGGGGGATATCTTTTATTGGACCAACTGCATGATTGGGATATAATTAAACAAGCTTTTAAATGCAAGACACTCCTTTTCAAGGAAAATTGCCTTACATTCAAAAGCTTGTCTAACTGTATCCTAATCATGCAGTTGGTCCTATAAAATATACTGCCCCAAAAATCTCTGCCTCTTGCAAAATATACTATCTAATTTCATACATCGCATAAGCATAAATTTAAGAAACTTCTGAGCTCTCATCCTCTGAAAAAAATCTCACCTGCTGCAGCTCCCTCAAATTGGGCACCCAGAAACATAGGCACTTAAAAATATGGCCATAATGACATTTTAGACCTTAAGGATGAAAATATCAAAAGTTCCTCAGAGACTCAGGGTGAGATCATACATTACAATTGGACCATGTTAAGAGCACTTAAAACTTGAATGATCATACATTAAGGTTCATTAACAAGTGCTAAGTGCCTTCTGGCATTTTAAAGTTCTGCCACTTTGAGTGAGGATAATCTTTGAGCTGTGCTACCTAGCCTGAGTTAAATTAACTTCTGGATGTTCACCTGAGATTAAACTACTACTTTGCTGTCCTCCAGTATCCCACCACCCTCTCTCTCTCAGGCAGATTGGGGTGGCAGAACAGTGATCCATGCTTGGAGGGGCTGACCAGGGAATGAAGGAATAAGAAGAGAGTGTATCTAGGTGAACATAGTAAGGATGAGGGTACATACAAGTGAGGCATATCTTAGTTCTGCTTCTTTTCTTGTAGTTTGTACTCTTCAGTTGTACACAAGCCTTCATCAAAGGTAAATAGACTAGGAGTCAATGGTATTGGTATGTATTTTTCATCAACAGTTGAACTAGCTAGCACATGGCACTTTTCAGTCCTGGACTGACAGCTGTGACTAGCCAGGCAACAGATGCATGGGAATGCGGTGAGTGGGGATGGAAAGAAAAGGGGTGAAAGGGGCATGGGGCTAAGGAGAGGGAGGCATGGGTAAGGAGTAAGAGGGGGCAGGATTGGAGTGGGGAGCTGGTGTGGAGATGCCAGGATGCTACCCCTTCTGATCCCTGACCCCCAAATCATCGTCTCCATCCCTAGATTGCTCTCCTGCCACTCCAAGCACCCCTTTTTCCCCCTATAACCTCTTTACCCCTGGATCACTGCCCTGCAGCACTGATCAGCCCAAGAACAGTGGACGAGGATTCTTCCTCCCTGCCTATTCCTGGGGTCCCTGCAGACCATGCTGACCACGCGTGGCCCTCTACCCAGAACCTCTTGAGTGTATGATGACAATATTTTATAGAAGCAGAACATTGCTGGTTACTGTGGTTCCCCTGCTTTACCTGTGGCAGGTTAGGGTGTCCGGTTTATGTTATATCAAGGTTTGAGGGTGGTCTTATGCAGTTTAGATTATGGTTTGTATGGGATGGTTTGAATAGCGATGATCCTGCCTCAGGCTCGACTAGACCTCTGGAGGTCCCTTCTAGCCCAGCTTCTCTATGGTTCTATGACTATGACCCTGTGTGCCCAGATCCAGCCCCAACAGGGCACTGCAACTGAAGCAGGGGCAGGGGCAAGTTCAGGGGTAGGGCACAGACAAGGAGCTGCCAGGCAGCTGTGGGGCCTGGTGGGGGCTGGATCTAGGTGTGCACAGGGGCAGCATAGGCTGCAAGGAGCCTAAGAGAAGGCAGGGAGGGGGAACACTCCCCGTGCCACCCCCCACCCTCTCTTTCTCAGGCAGATTGGGATGGCAGAACAGTGATCCATGCTTGGAGGGACTGACCAGGGGATGAAGGAATAAGAAGAGTGTGTATCTAGGTGAACATAGTAAGGATGAGGGTGCATACAAGTGAGGCATATCTTACTTCTGCTTCTTTTCTTGTAGTTTGTTTTCTTCAGTTGTACACAAGCCTTCATCAAAGGTAAATAGACTAGGAGTCAATGGTATTGGTATGTATTTTTCATCAACATCCAAGCTGGTGATACAGGGCGCCCTGAGAGCATAGGAATCATCACAACAATGGCAGACATTCTGGTTTATAGGATCCGTCCCATGTCTTCTACATATTCCCCCAAGCACAAGATCCAGCTTGAGAGGAAGAGAGAAATGTTTACATTTAAAACCACATTTCTTTGGACACATCATGCTTTTAACAACATCAAGGTGATTGAGAGCTTACAAATACATTTATTTAACGTTTAAAGAACTTTAAAAACAAAACAGCCCTGCAGCTTGCTGTGCCAGACAGAGTCCAAAATGGGGTCTCATTTTTAAATAGGGGCATTGTTATATATATAGCTTTATACACTGTCATTTGTGTGCACTCTAATGACAAAGTTTACACGTAAAATCCTATTGGTATGTGCTTTGCTTGCACCAAGCGGGATTTGTGGGGATATGTCCTACTGTGTGTGTGTGTACGTGGAGGCCAGTTGGAGGTCCTTTTAAATCTTGCTTCATAAGTAAACTTCGAATTAATCATTCCAATGAAGCCACATGGGTGCTATCCCATATCTACCCAGAGCCTGATTCAGATCATAGACATCAAGGAGAGTCATGCTATGAACCAGTTTATGTAACTAAGGGCCCGATTCAGCAAAGCCGTAAAGGCCTTGCTTAACCTGAGCCTGACAGTTCCCTTTGCAAAAATATAGACAAGATCCTCAGCTGGTGTGAATCAGCATAAATCCATTAGCTCAGATCATGTTACACCAGTTTACTCCACCTGAGGATCTGCCTCATGCCTCCGAACCCAGTCAATCCCAAACAGTTCACTGAGGGTTCTGGGTCTTGAGCCCTGGGCACCTGGAAACTTGGAGCAATGTCGTGGCAATAGGAAGAGGATGGGTCCAAGACTAGGAAAACATATACTCACAAATCCCTCAGAACACAGCATTTGTTTGTCATCGCTGAGCCGACAGCACCTGGAAGCAACTACCACCATTTCCTTTGTGTATTGGATCAGCTCTTTGGAGGGCAGCTGAGGCATTCTCTTGGTATAGCGCAGAAGAAGCCTGAAACAACCATTTCACAGTTACTGGCGCTCTTCTTGAGTCATTAACGGGCCAAACCCTGGGCCTGTGTAAACCTGCATAGCTCCAACTGAATGGAAGGCTACCTGTTTCGTTAGGGATGTGGCACAGTGTTTGTAAACCCACTTTACACTCTACGCTCCACTTCACACTCACTTTACACTGAAAGGAGAACCAGGTGCTCTGAGTCTGAGAGAGCACTCTCCCTCACAGCTCAGCTTCCTCCACTTTGTGAAGCTAAGCTTTAGTCTTGATCCTGAGTCTGTCTCATCAGCCCATTGCAATATAAATGAAAGGGATATCACAAATGCAGCATTACAGCCTTGATCCTGCAATTTATGAAATGCTGTTCCTCTGCTGTTGGAGGGACTTCATATGCTTGCTAGTTAGAGCCTGACAGGACTCCCTGACAGGTTTCAGCAGGGCAGAAGATAGCTGAGAATGAACTCACTCTTCCTGAACTATATGGTAGACCCTTGCAGAAGTGGCAAGAAAAGCTGTGACTACAGAGTGAAAAATGTATATCTAGATAGCCAAGCCAGGTGTGTTAGGAAGTTCCTTCCTTTCCAAAGGCCTTCTTAAATGGAAACATTGATTTGAGAGGGACCAAACTGAGAGCTTGGCAAATCCTGTATGTATCCCCAGAGGAAAAGACCCCAGTCCAGCTCCACTTAAACAGGAACTTTAGGCATGCCACCATCAGCCCTGATTTCATTAGGAGTACTCGCATGCTTGGAGTCAGCCAT